CAAAAATTAAGTTCCCACACACTCCTTCTGTGGGGACAAGTAGCAGCCAAAGATTTTTATCTATTTATGGATATGAAAGCTAGCATCATATAGCACACATGTAGAATTAAAACAGGATAAGGAAAATAGATTTTAAACATGAAACTACAGAATGTTCATTAGGTAACTGGCCTTTAATAAAAAATTGATTTTAACTTAGCATATTTCTACTTCAGCTTTATAGACCCAAATTCCATAGAGGGAACAACTGATTGTAGAAATTGTTGTTGGGTGGGGCCTGCCTTATACTTTGGATGTGTTAACAGTTCTAAGTTATAAATAAAATCTATACTATAAACAGGTATGTAGTAAGCCACAAATTCAAACAGCATCTATTGTGTCTATATCCAGCAACATGCCAGGTACTATGAGGAACTTATATATATCAACTTCAGCCCTTAAGCAACCTATTCCATGTGCATAAGCAAGAATTAAAAGAGCACAAAATAAAGATTTATATATAGATGCAAGCATAGGTTAACATGATACACAACTGAATGTTCAAAGGGCCTTCTGGAATAACTTCTCATACTCATAAAGAAGAGGGCTAGTTTCTGTTCACCTTATGAGGTAGACTCTGTAAACATTTCTTTAAAAAAAATCAAGTTCACTAAGATATATTTACATATAATAAAATGCATCCATTTAAGTGTGCAGTTTCGTGACCTGTAAAAAATGTAATTACCACCACAATCAACAAACAAAACAGTTAATATCACTGCAAAAATTCCCCTCAGGCTTCTTCTCAGTCAATCCTTTTACTACAGCTTAGTTTTGTCTATTCTCAAATTTCATATAAATAGAATCACATATTATATAGTTTTCTCTGCCTGTTTTTTTCACACAATATAATGCTTTTAAGATTCATGCACGTTGCTGCATATATTGGTAACTCATTAATTTTTATTGCTAGATTATATTATAATGCAACCATAGAAAGTAATTTGTTTATTCATCCAACATGTAGTTGGACATTTATTTTTTATTTGTGGCTATTATGAATAATACTGTTGTGGCCTCTGTGTACATGTCTTTATGTAGACCTATGTTTTCATTTTTTTAGTATATGCATAGGAATGTAGTGTGTATTTGACTTTATAAAAACTGCCAAATTGTTTATCAAAGTAAAGATATCATTTTTACATTCCCTTCAGCAAAGTATAAGAGCTCAAATTGCTCCTCGTGCTTGTTAACACTTGGTATTGTCAGTATTTTTAATTTTAGTCATTGCTGAAAAGAAAAAGTGGAAATCACTGCTTTAAGAATGTGAATCACAAAGGCATCCCAGTACATAAGAGCTTTGTATACCATCCAAGAAGTCAATCGGAGAGTTCAATGAGAAATGCTCAAATCCTATCCCAAGACACCATGAATGAACTGGAGAGATTATTTTCCTCCTTACAAAATTGCAGCAAAATAACTCAAGAAAGATCATCTTATTCCCCCATTTCTACACCTCTTATTAATACTTCCAGAAGATATATAAACTACTTTGAAAATAATGAGTTTTATGATCACAGACCTCTAACTATCAGGCTATAAACTGCATTAGAAACTGGGGGAAAATTAGTTAAAGATATTGGGGTGTGCGTGTGTGTGTGTGTGTGTGTGTGTGTGTGTCTAAAGTCATGATACTTCTCCTTCCCTAATTTTTTTTTAAATTAATGCTTCATGCTGCTTGAAGAGTAGTTAAAAATTATTTGCAGACATTGCCCTAATTTGGACAAAGTTTGCCTGTTCAAAATGAATAGCTGGTTTTCATCAACCAAACCACAATAGTTGAAGGGCCTGGCCTCCCAGAAAGCGTAGGCAGTTCACACTAATAGCAGGAAGAAGACTGTCATTCCAGGGCTCTGCTTTCACTTTACAGCCTCTTATGTGAGTTGAGCTACAAAGAGGTCATCCCTAAACTGAATAGGAGAAAAGGAGAAACTCAAAATCCTCCTTAGTCTTTTAATGAAGCTGCCATTTCCCTGCATGAAATGCCCTCTCACCCACACAATCCTCTTTTCAAAACCAGTGAAGCCCTACTTTTCTTGACACCCTTGGCTCTCCCAAACAGGCCAAATTCTCCTTACACATGCATTCACATCACTGCATATTTCCTTTTTAACCTTTCACAGTTTATAATTAGGCTTATTTTAGTGAGTAGCTTATTAATGTCTATTGCTTCTTCCTCACCAAATTAGGCAAGCTGTATGAATTTTTCTCATAGCTGTACTCTCAGAACCTAGGACATTCAGCACCGAAAAAGTGCGTGATAAACATTTGACTAATTAATTGTTAATTAAAACAATACCTTAACAGAGACTTTACTGATTGATATGCCTCTAAGTTTTACTTAAGTTAGAAAATAAGAGTGGCTACTACTTTGTCACTCATAAGAAAAATCAAACTGCAAAAATCTTTGGTGTCAAAGTTGCCTGGCCTTCTCCTGTACCAATTTTCACTAAACTGTCTGCTTAAATGTAAGCTCTACTTTATCAATCTAGCCTCTCAAAATTCAAAACCATGAAAATAATAAAGACTTTCAGAACAAAATATTTTCCTCCATTAGAATGCAACAAAAAAGCATTTCTCATAGTTTCAGATTTTAAACCTGAAGGTCTTGGTAAAGGTAATGCAGCTATCCAGTAAGTCCCAGGTCACTATCTTCTATGGCAGGGGAAATGGTTATGCTATTTTACTGAGATAAGGTTGTTAGAGTCCCTGTATCACTCTTGTCACTGAGATAAGGTTGTTAGAGTCCCTGTATCACTCTTGTAGACTTCATGATCAGACAACAGCATATGCTTAAAATGCAAATAAAGCTATCCTCTTTCAATTATAGGCACGTAGTAGGCAAAACTCAAGTTACTTCTGGATCAACTAGCTTTCTTTCAACTACTTGTCTATAAGAAATCTCAATGAAATATTGAGAGAATAGAAACCAAAAAAACTAGAATCACTATGTGTCTGTGCTCAGCCCAAACACAAAAATTTACTACAACGTATTCTATTAATTATTTGTGTAAACAGAACTCTAGAATCTAAATTTAAGAATATGAAAATATTTTTCATTTATTTCAGTAACTTAAGGGGTACAGATAGTTTTTGGTTACATGGTTGCATTGTATAGTAGCAAACAAGTCTGGGCTTTAAGTGTACCCACTACTCCTACTCGTGTGTACTGTACCTGATAGGTGTGATTTTTCATTCAAAAAAAAATATATATTTTTTTGAGTTGGAGTCTCATTCCGTTGCCCAGGTTGGAGTACAGTAGCATGCTCCCAGCCACTGCAGCCTTGACCTGCTGGGCTCAGGAGGATCCTTCCACCTCAGCCTTCCAAGTAGCTGGAACTACAGGCAAGCGCCACCATGCCCAGCTAATTTTTTTATTTACTGTAGAGACAACCCATTGAAAACATTTTTAAGACATGAATTTCATTAACAAACTACTAGGAAGGCATTAGGAAACGTTATGTCTTTCTTTCACTTAGTCACTGGATGTTAATTGAGTCCCTATTATATGCCAGGCACTGCTTAGCACACTAAAGAAATACAAATATCTTCTAACAATAACCAAATCTTATTAACCTAATTTTTATTTGGGAATAAGAGAAAGAGATCGATGTTTCAAGGTCAATTCTCTCACACTTATTTAAATAAAAGCTTTCTTCTAACCATTGAAAAGTCATTCTTACCAAAGTGTCATATTCTTATTTCATTTTAATCTAAGGTACAGTCTTTTAAATTTAAATGTTCTTTCTGGCAAAAAGATACTTTTTATCCTACAATAAATTCTGATAAACTTAAATGATCAGAGGCTTATTTTTTCTTGAATAGGCCCAAAAAACTAAAGTTTTGTTTCCAAACCACAATTGAAGGAAATTTTTAAAAAGAGATAAATTAAGATAAGCTTATATTTTCCATCACCCCATTACAAGAAATATTATCAGCAATATTACAAAAGCCCCAGATGTTCAGATTAGCATCACCCATAATTCTATGGGAAATTTATCCAAATTTTATTTCAAAAATCCTAATATGAATCCACTGTAAATCCCACAGATCTTCTACAATCACAGAAAGAGAAAAAATCCAACAAGATTCTAAGTTTAATAAAACAGATGTCTCTTGTTGCCAAGACAATGGCTGTCAGGCAAAGCAATGACTTAGGAACTGAATTGACTTTCTCACATTCCATAAGGTGCCAATGTTTATCTTGAGACAAGTGATTACTGATTATAGGCAACTGACTATGAAAAGAAAGCCAATGAAAGTCAGGCTGTTAGTAATAACAATTATCCAAATAGGAATTATTCCAACAAAAATATCAGAGCATAGCCCACTTTCTGTCAGTGTCCCAGTGAAGGCAAGTATGGACAAACAAACGTGTCTGCCAGACCCTTTACAGAAACTCTTAATGAATTGAAAATACTTTACAATTGAACTTTACTACCTTTCTGATACATGGCAACCTCAAAAACAGAGGTGCCACCAGTAAAGAAGATCAGAGGAAAACAACACAGAAACAGGGAAAAGGAGTAGTGAGCAGACAGCTACAAAACCTGTGAATATTGTGACCTTCTTGGACACCTCAGAATTAGCTGTTTTATTTTATTTTTTTTATTTTTATTTTTTTTAGTTGGAGTCTCACTCTGTCACCCAGACTGGAGTGCAGTGGCTGCTCCCGGTCACCACAGCCTCAACCTGCTGGGCTCCGGCGATCCTTCCGCCTCAGCCTTCCAAGTAGCTGGAACTACAGGCGTGCGCTACCATGCCCAGCTAATTTTTGACTTATTGTAGAGATGAGGTCTCTCCAAGTTGCCCGGGCTGGTCTCGAACCCGTGGGCTCAGGTAATCCACTCACCTCAGCTTCCCAAAGTGCTAGGATTACAGGCTGGGCCACCGAGCCCAGCTAGAATTAGCTGTTTTAAAATAGAAGTTGTTTTAATAATATTAATATCTGGTTTCATTACCTGACAAGCAGATATAAGTTAAATATTCGCCTTGACCCCCAGTTGCCAAGAAAGGAATCTTTTTCTTTGTCCTCCTTTTGACTTGGACAGCTCCCAGCATCCTTTCATCAAGAGGCGCAAAAATTTCCTTGCTGATGGCAGATTTGGCACTCATTGTGTACAAGCGAGGAGGGCACACAGTGAATTTTCTAAAGAAGAAAAAGAAAAGGAAAGTTGGAATTGACAATACTCTAAGGGCTCATACAAGACCAGCAGCAAGTGAATTTGCAGGTGAAATAATTGTCAATTTTCAATCACACCTCTTACTTGCTTAAATCCATTATGGAAACATTAAAAAGCAGTCTTCATATTTATAATAACTGTGAAAAATATAAACAAAAAGAAAATACTTATCTCCAAGCACAATAGGAGATGAGCAGCACAATATGGGATCTAGAAATTTTGCTAACTCTCCCTGGCAACCCTATACCAGTTCTGTAAGAAACACTATTTCACACTTCCACTTGAGAAGTTTTTTCACTGTCCTACAATCCTTAAAGTCAAGAAGTTCTTTATGCTCCTTCAAAACCTCCTTTAACTCTAATGTAAATCCATTTCCCTAATTCTATTCATAGTGAAAATAATGATATCATTTTCTATATAATAACAATACATGTAACAGAAGGCCACTGAAGTAATACTCTTCTGCTGCCTCTGATCAGGCTAAGTAATAAATTCTTATGTATTAACTCTGTCGAAGGGCTCTACTTTCCAGTGATCTTCTACATCTAGCTGTCATGCTCTGCACCCTTGACAAACAACTCCAGATTTTCCTACAGCCAAAGTGGACACAGAATCCCAAAAAAGTATCTGACTAATGCTAAGTATTTTGAAAATATTACCCAGTAGTTCCCACATGTTATGCCCCTGTGGTTAACTGGCAGTGGGTGCCCAATAATTAAGAAAATAAAGCAGTATGTTGCTGACTCATAGTGAGTTGCCTGCCACTCCCCCCACCAAAAAAAAAAACAAAAACAAAAACAAAAACAAAAAAACAACCAACAACAAAAAAACCAAACTTACACATACACAGTTCCCATGTTATATTTAGTTTTCTAAAAGCTGTATTTCTATAATGGTCTTAGCTCTGCTTATTTGCATCTATTATGTACAAAGTCAATCTGAATATTAACCCTGTCACCCAAAAAGCTCAACAGCAACTTGAGTAAACATTTCTCTAGTCAATCATTCTAGTCATATATAATCTATGCCTTAATCACTAACCAATATTTACTGAGGGAGATTTTAAAAACAGAATTAAAGGTGGAGAGAAGGTCCATGAGTTGGTCATAGAGGTTGTGCAGAGTATTCAGAGATCCTGCATGTGGATCAACAGCACTGCTATATATAGTAACAGCAACTCAAAAAGCAGATCAGACTGTTGTAAAATTGAGCCAATTGGTTAAAAAAAAACACCATGTGCCACCTCTATGCTCAGTAATAGAGATACAAGAAATAATTAAGATATGGTCTCTATTCTCCAGGAGTTGATTGCTGCCTATACCAACGGTTTCACTTAAATCCACATGATTTATAATGAAAAACCATGGAAACACATTTCCCAATGCAAGATTCACAAAAGCTACCAACACAGCTATCTAATCTGTCCACATCTGTAGCCTCCTGGTAGGAAAGAGATATATTTTTAAAAAAAGAATATCCTTCTAGTTAAATAAATTTATCCTACTTTTAATTCCATAATAGAGCAGGTTGTCCTAGTGGCACCAAGAATACCTATCTATACATATACCAAGAATACATATGCATAGATCTAGATATTATAGATCTATACCTAGATCTATTTTTGCTCTGAACCCAACATTGTATCATTGCCACCAGATTCTTCATGCTGGCCAAAACCAAAATGACAACAGAGTAGGGGGACATGTTTTTCAATGTGTGGACCACTCACTGACACACTATTATGCCCTACAAGTTAGCAAAAATAATTTCATCCATCATGATTTACCCCATGAACTTCCTACACAGGGTGTTATACTTTATCAGGGCCTTTTTTTTTTTTTTTTAAAGAGAGACACACAAACTAATTCTTTACTAGGTCCAAGGCCTCTTCACCTCTCACCATTTGGAGAACATGTGAAAAAGAAAGTCAATGGTAGCACAGTGGCTTCAAACCATTCTATAAGCAATGTATAAAGCAAGCCACAGTCCCAAACTCATCAGTCATTCTCTGACCAGCACCTCCCTAGCTGGCATGGCTTCTGCTTTTTCATCCTGGATTAACATTTTTCTAAAACTGTAGTTAAAAGAAACAAAAAGCTATCATTTTATCATATAAAATCTGTCAGAAAAAAAGATATGCATTTTTACAAAACTTAGAAATTCCTATGCTTCTTTTGTTTTCAACTGGTAAAAACCAGAAATGATCTTTTGTTGTTTCTTATATTGATATTCAATGGTCAAGAGCCCTCCCCTCCCACTCAAAAAAAGATAAGAATTTCACTGAACACAAGTTTTAGAATCAACCAAATATGGGTTCAAACTTTAGCTCCAACACCTAAGACCTGTGTGATTTCTTTTTTATTTATTTAATTTTTTTTATTTTAAAATTGTGGGGTACAATTAAGGGTTAGGTGTACAAATATTCATTGTACAGGTACCCTTGTTGATGAAATGTGTCCCCCCTTTCCCCAGACAGATATTGACTATCGTAATCCCACCTCCCTTCCCCTCCCTGTCCCCCCCAAGTTTCCCGCCACTGTGAATCCTTTTCTTATAGTATTATGGTAGTTGTTCAAGGTCCACTTATGAGTGAGAACATGTAGAATAAGTGATCTGCATGTATTGTTTCATTTAATGATTCAGTTCTGGGAGGTAGCTGGAGATATATCTATGTCGTGGTTAGTAAACTAAGGGTCTGGGATTTTAAGAAATTTACCCAGAAATCACACAGGTCTTGGAAAAATCCAAGTTCTGGGTAAATTTCTTAAAATTCCAGACCCTTCGTTTTCTAACCGCGACATAGAGATATCTCCAGCTATCTCCCAGAACTGACTCATCAAATGAAACAATACATGCAGATCACTTATTCTAATACCTAAATAATTGTAAGAATTGCCTAACAGTGGAGAATTTTGATTAACTCTCCTACTATGATATGAAAAAATAAAAGGTCCTTTGATCTTGTAGAAACTGAGTCAATGTAGCCATCCATACCAGAAGACATTTCTAAAAGCGAATCCCAACTTTATTTACCAAAGGCTCACTTTTCTCACTAATGGGTATGAAGTCCTGTATATATGGATAAATGGTCTCTTACAGGGAAGGCTCTGTACCAAGTGTTATAAGGATTAAGAATTTATAGGCGTCACCCTCAGGAAACTCACTAGTAGGAGATTACCAGATTCATTTGATGCGAAATTTAAAAATGTTTTTTGTTTAGGACAAAAATATTAACAGACTTGTGTGGAGCACACAAATATGTATGTTTTTAATGTCCCCTTGGGAATGGTAATATACAGCAGATTAGAAGAGAAAGAATGGGAAAGTTAAAAGGATACTGTTGTATCTTTGTGGTAATAACTTACGAGTGTCCCAAATCTGGCTGTGAATCTGAATCCAGCATGGAGAGCTTTTTAAAAATGCACTACTGGGCCCCTCCTTCATACCCACCAAATCAGAATCCTGAGATCTGAATTTTAAACAACTCTATCTGGTTCTCATGTAGCCATGCAGTCATCCTGCTACCTAATTTAAAAGCTGTCAGCCTAAAGAGGACCTAAAGCCTGGACTAGAAAGGTGGTGATGGGAATGAAAGGATGAATTATTTCAGGAGCGAATACAAGAAGAAAATGTGCAGAATTTTTTCTCTTGATTCATCCACGTTTTATCAGGTTTTACATCTTACTGCTAGTAAATCAATGTTCAGCCCAAGGTCGGGATCCCATCATAAAAAAATAAGATAAAGATAACAGTAATGGTTCATCAAAGAGTTACTCAAATCAACATCCCTTTTTATTTTCCTGGTCCCCAGCTTCCATAGGATATAATTACAAAGCTTTTCCATCCCTGAAACCAACCTCCAATATGATTTGCAAGTCAAAGCAGCTGGTTGCCTTAAGTGTTAGCTAAACTAATCACAGTTGGTTTTGATCTGCTTCTCACTCACTTCTTCCATACACACCACTTTTGTTAAACCATGGCTACTGTGAGATGGCTCTCTACTGCCCAAGTAACCAGGAAACAAGATCATCCTTTAGTGTAGGAGTTGGATACTCAAATGACCTCAGAGATCAGGCAGATGAAGTACATAAGTAAAGGGGCACATATGTAAGATGCTTTTTTATCCCAACAGCAACAGTTAGGTTTCCAGTAGTGGAATTAATATCTGTCCTCTGTGGTCAAGAAATTAGGAGGAGCGATAGGGACTCCAGTAAATTAAAAACTGCCCTTGTCAAGGCATTAATTATCTTGCAGTTGGCTTTAGGGTAAGCATAATCTACAGGCCTTAAATATTTCTCATCTGAAAAGAAAAAAACCTTCTCTGGTGAGACAATAGTACCATCTACTTAGCTTAATACTAATCTAATCCCATTAACTTCTCTGTTCTGATCCCAGGTTTAACATACAATCTTCTGATCATGTTTTGGCCCTGTGGCTGGGCCAACACAAGTATTCTGGACTGTGTGACAGTTATAATTCCCATTGTAAATGATTAACCAGGAATTGTTGACATCGGCTACATAAGCTTGTTAATGTGTCTCAATACTGAGGCAGAAGCACTCAACATGCTGATATCAAGTTTCAGAGTCTTTAAAGTTAAGAGCCAAGGTGATGTCATCCTGGAAGACTTTTGGAGAGAATTAGCTGGCCTTTCCTAGTGCATGGGAACTTGGGTGTGGTGAACCAAAATATGTAAGTTAGAAATATGAGAAACTAGATTATTCCTTAAAAAGTGAATCTCTGCATTGCCACTTTATTTCTGAAATTCTACAAATGGAGCTTCAACTCCCATCTACACTCTGATGACTCTCATCAAGCATTCAGCTCAGGTTGTCTTCCTGACCTTAAACCCATGTATCCAACTGTTAGAGTGAGCGTTTCCACTGAGAGCTAGCCTAGACTCTCCCTTTTACCCCTTTAACCCTCCAACTCCCTCATAACAACTAACCCATCACCAAGTCC